AAAAGAAAAAGAAATCTGATACTAGAGTTTTCTGTATTCTTATCATGGTTATACTATCTGTTCTTTCTTGTAAGTGGCTTCTACAAGTTTCATTTCAGGGCCAGATCTGACTACAATACAGAAAGCAAACACACACACTCAAGAAGACCCAAGATGCCCCAATGAAAGCAGGCTCCCAACATTGTTGGAAGAGTAAATGTTTCATAAGCAGCAAGAGTTTGCGTTTGTTTTAAGTAGCTAAAACCAATTGCTCTGGAGAAAGAAAGCTAGCTGCCAACATGCAATCGGTTGCAGCTGAAAGCACAGCTGCAAACCTGAGCTATAGGTTAAAACAGAGCTCTCAGCCTCCAGAATCTTCCACAAGGGCAGCCTGCCAAAGTGCAAGACAGGTCCCAGTGAGCTCAGAAGTTCCAAAAATGTCATCCTGAGTAGCTTTGGCAGCTAGGCAATGGATTTTATACAAAATATCTGTCTTATTTAATGTATGTTCTTTTCCTTCATTTTTCTTATTTTCTTTTGACATAGATGGGATCTATGTTTGCCTAAGATGATCTTGAACTCTTGGGGTCAAGTGATCCTCCTGCCTCAGCCTCCCAAGATACAATGCAGCAGTGGTTAGCACCCCTTTTGAAGAAGCTTCCAAAAGAATCATACCGCTTGTGCTTGAATGTTATGGTGAACCGTGGTAGCACCTAAGACTGATGAGCACATGGGTAGATGGGAGAGAACCATGGATATTTCATTGGCTCTGCCGATGGACCTGAAGAGTGGTACAGCAGTGGCTATGTACTTACATCTTCACAGAGCTACAGAAAGGAAGGGCTACAAGTGGCCTTCCAGGCCAATTACTGACGTCCTGCTATCAGCTTATAATAACTGTCTCATTGGTACCCAGAAAACAGATTTTCTGGGATAATCTGCTACCATAGTTCTTTAAAAAGTGAAGTGCTCAGCTGGTGCGTTGGCTCGAAGGTAAAAGTACTTCCCATCATGCCTGACAACGTGAGTTCAATCACCAGGACTCATGGTGGAAGGACAAATCTGAAAGTTATACTCTGACCTCCACACTCCCACCATGGCACCCATGCACTCATCCACACACCTCACAATAGATAAATAAGACATAATAAAAATTAAAGCTAAATGTTCTTTGTTTTGAAATTAAAGATTTCCCACTTCAGTGGTATTAAAGTATTTTAAGTATTTTTTTCTTAATTTGGTAATGTAGCTCAGTAGGACAAACTTGCATGTTTTTGGGTTCTGTTCCCAGAACACACACACACACACACACACTCACACACACACTCACACACACACACACACTCACACACACACTCTCACACACACACACACAAAAGAATGGTGATTATAAATAATAGCTAGGTATTTTCTTGTTTTGAAAAATGCATTTGTCTCTGTTCATTATTATTCAAATTAGGTGGCTTTTTTTTTTTTAAGTTTCCAAAAAGATACAGTTGGTCCTTAAATCTATAAATACCACAATTGTGGATTCCACCCACCAAAGAGCTAAACTATTTAGGAAAAAAATATTAGATGTGTACTGGACATATACAAACCTCTCTTTTAATTCTTCCTAGACAGCACGGTGCAGCAGCTGTTCACACAGCACCTGAAATATGCTAGTGTGTGCCATGTAACCTAGAGATGATGCCAACAATTAAAAAGGGAGGCTGGACATGGTGATAAACACCTGGCCCCAGCACCCAGGACGCTGATACAGGAGGATTGTGAATTCAAGGCCATCATGGGCTACGTGGTGAATTGCAGCCCATCAAGAATTACAGTATGATATTCTATCTCAAACCAACAAATACAAACAAGATAAAAGGGAGGATTACATAGGGTATTTGCAAACACTATGCTATTTTATATAAGAGACTTAGGCAGAGGAGGATTTTGGTATCCATAGAAGGTCCTGGAATGGAGCCCCACAGTCACACAGGGACAACTACTTAACATATGCAATCTCAATTTGTTTTTTAAAAGAGATCTGTTTTATTATTTACTTGTGTGTGTGCTCACACACATGTATGTATGAAAGTGTGCAGGCACCCTTAAGGAGGCCAAAAGATGGTGTAGTTACAGGTAGCTGTGAGCTGTCTGATATGGAAGTGGGAATCAAACTCAGACAAGAACAGAACACACTCTTGGTTGCAAAACTGTTTTGCAGGTCTTCTAACTTGGGAAAATAAAAATCTAGATATCTTATATAGTAATTTAATTTTCTTTATATTATTGACAATTATGTGTGTGTGTTGGGGTCGGGGCGAGTGCACATGAGTGTGGGTGCTGGTGGAGGCCAGAGGCTTTGGAGTCTCTGGAGCTGGTGTTTTAGCAGTTGTGAGCCACCCAATGTGGGTGGTGGGAACTGAACTCCAGTCCTCTGGAATAACAACATGCACTCTTAACTGCTGAGCCACCTCTCCAGGCAACCCCCACCCCCTTTTTGAGACACTGTATGGAAGTAGCCCAAGCTCATCTTAAACAGCCTATTTTCTGCCTATTTATAAAAGAGGAAATGGGAATCTGTGCGGTTAAATGTTAAAGCATTACTCAAACATGAAAGACCTTTATCCTGGGTAAAAACCAAGTGAGAATTGGGTGTGGTGGTGAGCATGCATTCGACCCCCATCCCAGAACTGGGAGAAGGGAGGTAAGGGGGAGGGGACTTTCTATATAGTCCCAGGCCAGCCCAGGTTAACAAAGTGAAGACTAGGACAGAATTTGAAACTCTTAGCTCTCAACAAGTGTTGAATCTCACCCTAATGGCATTTGCAGTACAGAATTGAGGCAAAGGAGACTTTTATGCACTTCACCACACTCCAAGTTAGGCTCCACTGTGCTTTGCCAGCTCACAATCATCACACATGTGCACTCTTGTGATTTTCATTAGGTTAAAATCCAACAGCCTGGTATAAGATAATTCATAAATGCAGATGTCTATTTCATTCGTAAGCTAACCTTCTCCCTTATCAGTCACAAACAGAAGCCACCACTATAATGTTGCAATGCAGTAATTCTGAATCTAGGACAAGATGGCCGGCTTATTCCTGAATCACGTAAGTATCAGGCGATAACACATGTTAGTGAGACAGACAGGAAAGCCTTGAAACCCAGCTCAGCAACCAGGAAAATATTCAAAGCTGAGATGCCAAAATTTTTAGTTCATTTATTTCAACTTCTCAAAATTCCATTTTTTTAAACTTGGGGACTATTTTACTAAAGTTTTAGAGAAAAATAGAGTGGGGAAGCTGTAAATCTTGGCAGCTGACAGGAAGAGGGAGATGGAGAAGACAATTAGAGAATGCAGTGTCCTAGCACATAGCTGCATGGCACCCAAAGAAAGAGTGAGAATGCCCAGAGTGCCAGAGAAATAATGCTTAGGCTTTGTCCAATATCCAATACAGAGAGAGAAAAGAAAAATGAAAAGTTATATTTTTCTAAGTTCAGAAAAAGAAATGGGTGGGCTGGGCTGTGGTGGCGTATGCCTTTAATTCCAGCTCTTGGGAGGCAGAGGCAGCCTGTTCTACAACAGCTAGTTCCAGGACAATCTCCAAAGCTACAGAGGAGCCCTGTCTCGAAAAAACCAAAAATGAAGAAATGGGTGGAATCCATCCACAAGGCTACATGGTGGATGGTGTGTGTGTGTGTGTGTGTGTGTGTGTGTGTGTGTGTGTGCTTGTTTCTGAGTGAGAGAGGGAGTCTCACTATGTAACCCTGGCTGGCCTGCAATCCACAGAGATCTTCCTGCTTCAGCCTCCTGCATGCTGAGATCAAATGTTAGTGCCCCATGTGCCACCTCTAATCAATTTTACAGCCACTAATTTCCAATTACGGTCATTAATGCTGTTCAGGATGTTGGCCCATATACTTACCTTTTTTTCTTTGTAAAAAGTTTTAACTTTATTACTGGTAAGGTGTGTGTGTGTTTGACATGTACAGATAAACATGTACCATGGACGGTGAGTGAAGTCAGAGGACAACTTTGTGGAATCAGTTTTCTCCTTTTATGCTTACATGGGTTCCAGAGATCAAACTCAGGTCCAGCTTGCACAGTACCTTTACCTACTAAGCCGTCTCACTGGCCTCTCCCCTCCCTGTAATGGGTTGAATGAGAATGGCCCCCATAGGCTCATATCTTTGCAGACTTGTTCCCCAGTCAATGGAACTGGTTAGGAAGGATTAGGAGATGTGGTCTTGTTGGAATAGGTGTGGCCTTATTGGAGAAAGTGTATCCCAGGGAGGTGGGCTTTGAGGTTCCAAAAGCCCATGCCAGGCTCAATCTCTCTCTCTCTCTCTCTCTCTCTCTCTCTCTCTCTCTCTCTCTCTCTCTCTCTCTCTCTCTCTCTCTCTCCCCCTCCCCTCTCTCTCTCTCTCTCTCTCTCTCTCTCTCTCTCTTTCTCTCAATCTCTCTCCCCCTCTCCTCTCTCTCTCCCTGCTCCAGGTGGATCAGATGTAAGCTCTCAACTACTGCTCCGACTGTAAGCAAGCTCCCAATTAAATGCTTTCTTTTATAAATTGCCTTGGTCATGGTGTTTCCTCATAGCAATAGAATGGTAACTCTGACAGCCACTATACCCAGGACCCTGTAAAAACTTTAAATTTGCAATAGTAAACACAAACCAACTGTGTTAAAGAGACCAAACACTTTCCTTGTATAAGACAGGTATCTGGAAAAGTGAAGTCATTTCTCATATAATTTTTTTCACTTTGAAGTTTTGAAATAATTTAGATTTACATAAATGTGGTTAAACAAGAGCACATCTGTGATACACTTTTCATCTACTTCCCTTATTGTTGACATCTTGTAAAAAAATGATGCACATATCCAAACTGAAAAGACTGACATCATCATGCTAGTTAGCTAAACCACCACTTTTACCTAGTAAAGGTGAACACGGCAATGGTTTACACAGTAACGCCTTTTCCTTGGCTGTGAACTGTGGTTCTACATGGCATAATAGTTTAAATTCACTGACCTGTAGGAATCAGAGTCTCATCAACAGGCAAATAGGTCTCGGCTGCTATGGTGACTTCATGGTCATATATATTTGGGGAGCCCTGGGAAGGAAAAGAGAAAGAAAAAAATTTACTCTTGGGTATTTTGGGGCGGGGTCAGGGTTGAGACAGGGTCTCTCTATGTAGTTTGGGTGTCCTGGAACTCACTACATAGACTAGGCTGGCATTGAACTCATAGAGATACACCTGCCTCCTCCTTAGCCACATCTAGCTACTGGGTTTTATTTTACATATTCACTTTATAACTTCTGCAAAAATGTCTTCAAGCATTGATGGTTGACTGGTGACTATGATTAATAAGATCACTTAGGGCAGGTAGACAAGAGTTTCCATTGCCACCAACACATTTGGAAGGCACTATCAAATGTGACCGTAGTGGAAAGCACTGTTGCCAAGCCCATCTCCAGGACCCACAGAGTAGGAGAGAATCAACTCCTCTGAGTTGTCCTTGGACCTCTGTGAATGATCCATGTCAAGTGTGTGTGTATGGATGCGAGTGTGTTCGCGCGTGTGTTATGCACACATAAAGACAATTAAAAAGAAATGGCCCTAGCATGCAACTCTCTCACAAACAAGACAAAAAGGGTGGGGATGGGGGTGGGG